CTCGGTGGGTATCTTTTAAAAGCGGTGCCGCCTCCAACAGTTCCGGTAATTCTTCCGTATGCACTTTCCGGGTCGAGGTTTACCTTGTTCCTGACTCCAATTGAAAAATCGATTCGGATGTTGTGTCAGCGTCTGCTGCGCCTCCAGCGCGCAAAGCCGTTTTGTGTGTGCCGGACAAAATGTTCCCCCCAATCATTCTTCGATGGGTTCTAAAGAAAAATCCGCCCTTCGTTCCGCTCCACAAACCGACCATCGCTTTCTTTCCTTGTTACTCCTCAAGTTGCTTCCTCGGATCTCGAGTGAGCTTCTTCGTCTCAGTTCACCGGCATCCCCATCTTCCCCTCTCAACTTGGCTTCCTCGTCCTCAAGCACCGCCGCCTCTTCCGCATCTGGAGCATCCTCGATTGTCTCCAGCGAGCTGATGGACGGCGACCGAGATCGCAGCGACGTTGGCGTGCTGGGCATGCTCGAAGCAGAGCTGAGAGAGTAAATCGGGTACGGTTCATAGGTGTACTTCTGCGGTGCGAAGGACGGCGACGGCGATGTCCTTCCCGATATACTGGGACTCATAGCCCTAACGTAGAGAGATGGAGCGCTTGCGCTCTGGTGAAGCGGCTGTGCGTTCCGCCGCCGTGCTCTTGGGAATGTATTGGAGAGGGATGATATGGGCGAAGGTTGAGATGCCTCGGCGTCTGCTGTCAGTTCAAGCTCTTCGTTTTCTGGTATATTCGGTTCAATATTAAGGCCGCTCCAGGATGGAACGCCAGGATATGGGTCTTCCACAGCTGCTCGCAGCGGGCTTCTTCTCCTTCCTGAATGAAGTGGTGAAGACGGTCTTCTCGGGACGCCGTAAGGCGTAATGTATCGGCCCGATGCGTCAACACCGGGCGATGAGTGGGCTCTTTGCATTGGCGGCGCGTTGGCCACACTTCCAACCGACAGCGGTCTCACCCTTCTAGGTGGAGATGCAGCACGAGGCCTCGAGGGTGTAGTGTTCTGTGAGAGATAAAGGCTGTGTTTCAGAAGTGTCTCGACACTCTTCGACGGAGACGATCTAGGGGGGGAAGAAGAGGCTGATTCAGGTTCGAGGTCCGAAGGAGACGGAGGTAATTCGATATCTTCTGCTCGGACTTGAGGCGAGGAACTGGGGAGAAGGCTCGCGAGGGTTTTGCCGTCGGAGGTAGCGGAGAGGTTCAACGGAGGGTTTGTCAGCGGCGACATGGTGAATGCGGGAAGAAGTTCTCGGTAATCCAGGATCTGGGGTGACGCAATGATTCAGCCGAATAAGGGAGCAGGAGTCGACATAATCGTGCGATCAATGGTAAGAGATCTGGGATCTGTTGTGGTGGAAAGGGTATTGGCAGAATTCCCGAAGACTGTAGAATCCCCAGGCGCTCAACTAGTAACACCTTCACGGCCCTCACGGGGTGCTTTTGTACAAGGTAACTAGGTAGGGGGAGAGAAAACCCAGCAACACTCGAGGCACAGAAGCCTCTGAGGTTGCTGGTGGTGGATGATTCAAATGGCGGGCGGCTTGATCGAAAGAATGCTTTAATGGGACAGTAAGGAGGGAGGAGAGGAGGCTGTACCAGTCACAAATTGCGGAGGAAGTGGAGATTGGTTCCAGGCGCAGCGCCCGGGTCAGGAGTCCAGATCGAGACGAGGCGGGCTTGCTGGGCGCTGTTGTGATGGTGGATGTGATGTGAAGAGTACTAACAGTTACTGGCTGGAATGGTCGGTAGGCTTTTTTCAGCTGCGGCGTATCTGCGTCCCTCCGTTGCGGCGTTCCTGCATTCACAAATCCAGCCCGCGCTCTCACTCCTTCACACGTTGTCTCTTGGCTGGCTGCTATTCCATTCATGATATATCCATCCATTCAGTCCGGTTCTCCAGCTGTTGACACCCCGCTCCAAGCACTACCCGCCCGGTCTCGATCGCTCTCAGACGTGAAACCGTAAAGGACAATTCGCAATTTGCTCGACAAATCCTCGCGCGACGATGGCCTTCACCCCCTAATCCTACATGAAAAGGGGGAGCGCCGTAAGGAAGTAAAGTATCCACTATCTCTTCGACCGCGAATTCTCAAAAGCACTGTACGAGTACTCCATATTAGATATGTGCATGTAGGGTTACATCTCAGGTGGGCAAAAACAACGGACGGCACGGCGAGCAAGATACAATTCTCGTGTCATCGGCGAGATACAAAGCCGCCGAAAGTCCTATTCTCAGCAAGGGCCAGCTCTATTATAGTCGGATCTGACCCAGAAGAAGTGATGGCAGTGCAAGGCATACACTCAACCAGAGGGGGAATGCGGTAGGCCATATTTCCTCTCGGCCGCAACCCTGCGCGGCGTTGTTGGTTAGTTGTCCGCCGTGCTGTGACACTTTGCAACTCCAATGGTCAGTAGAAGTGAGAACAAATACTTGGCTCTTTTGCGATGGGTATACAGCGTTGTGTTTGCTCCGGATAATCTGAATGAGATTCTCGGCTTTCCATCAATTTGAATGTTCCCGCAAATGTCGTGGAAGCCTTGGGGAGAGCCTCGTTGGTAGGGCGGTTGATCAGGATAAGGCCGTGACAGTACGGCAGGCTGAGAGGCTGCCCCAAACGCAGCAAGTTATTTGATCGCAGGACGGTCGTCCGAGGAGGAGCAGAGATTGAATCACTCATTGCCTTCATCTAAGTCCCTGAGGCCGTAGGGCGGTGCCACCTGTAAATCCTTTTTCTTTCTTTTATTTTGCAACCTGCGCAGTGACCCGTCACGCCGCAATCTCTCTCCCCCATTCCCGACGTAAGCGTATTTGTGGCCACCAGCAACGTTTTCGCAAAGTGCTGGGACGTCGAAATCGGCAACTGATCACTCTAGTACTCTCTAGTACTCAGGAGCATGTTCTGACGTCCTTAGATACGCAAGTGGTATTGAGAAGACTGTGTGCTCTTTGGTGTCTACCGAGACTTGACCTTGACGATTCACGTCGCGCGGCATGTTCAGGTAAGCAAGGATCATCGAATCTGAATCTGTCGAAGATACTGCAGATCGCTGTGGATAGGCTATGTTGAAAGCAAACCGTTCCATCTACCGCTTGAAACTCGGATATCAATGGTTTTGCTCGGTGGCTTGGGAGAAAGATTACGCATACCTACATACAAGCGAAGTCCATACTTCTTATTGCTACTAAGAATCCGGCTCGGAGTTGGGTATCACAAAATGGGTTTCTCGGAGAGGCATTTCAACACTTCCCCCCTTTTCATAGGGATCATACTGATGGCTTCTTCATACCTGCATATCGAAAGCTCCAGACCTGCTTACCAAATTGTCGGATCCGACATTCATACTCATACAACCTTCTTAGCGGTAGTCAGAATCGCGACCCAGTCCCACCTGATCTCGCCATCGCCGTATTTTTGTTTCATGTATGAAACCACGGCATTCGTCGCTCTGTCTTTGTATTTCTCTCGTTGCTCTGCGGTCCAGGTCTTTTGCTGAATCATACCCACCATCCCAGTCATCAAGTGGGTGAACTGATCAACGCCACTTACACTCGTATGGGGCACCTCCCGCACATGCACATCAACGAAACCAGACTCGGTAACGTTGTCTTTGATCCAGGCGCTGTCACTCCAGAGCCCGTTCGAGTTGATTATCTTCAAAAGTTCTCCCACTGACGGGAACGTGGGTACCTCTGGATCCGTGGCAAAGGCGGCTTTCATGTCGTCGGCCCAGCCGAGTTTCATCCATGAAGACATGGCCAGAATGCCCCCAGGCTGCAATATGCGGTAAATTTCGGTCATGCCGACTTTCCAATCTGAGAAAACCATAGGTCCAAAGTTGAGAAAAACATGCGTGAATTTGCTGCCGGGCATTTTTGTGTCCATGGCATCCGCCTTGATGGCGTGGGCACTTTTGACCTCAAATGTGCGGATCCGTGGACGTACGAAGTCGATCATGGAGTCTGAAAAATCTGCGCAGGTGAGATCCAGGTTGGCCTTTTGTTTGTTGTTGAGCATATTGACCAGTCGCTCTGAGACGACACCCGTTCCGCACGCCTGATCGAGCACGGTCAATTCTTCGTTGTCAGCCACCTTCGCAACGTTCGATTGTTTGATGAGCAGGTCGGCAAAGTAACCGGTCATCTTTTCGGCGCTCTCAGCATATACCTTGGTGAAAGTTGTGTTATTGAACATTTTCTGTGTCGCTTGAGTGTCCATGATGCCGTGGGCTGTTTCAGAGAGGCGGTTCTGAAGACTGTATGACTTAATCGCTGCGGGTGGATTCGAAGTAGACAATTGCTTGAGCCTCTGTAAGGGTTTCTTGCGGTAGGTCCACATTCACGTCTCGGAGGTGGCAGAGCAGCTCTATCACTGTGGTAAAACACATGAGCGGCTCGAAGAGCCAACTGTTTATATGCAGCATCACCGCCATTTCAGGCCCTTTCGGAGACATGTTGTATGTCTCCGATGGAAACATATGGGCTTCAGATGGCGGCCTGAAATTTGCTCCTATTAAAGGGTCGTTGTCCTCCACAAGTGTCTTAAATTTTTGTCCTGTTCCAGATGGGTATGTGGCTGGTATCATTGGTTTTGTACCTACCTGCTACAATCTTCGCAGAAGTCATTTTACCGGTGTGCTAAAAACTGAAAAGTGTTACAGATGAACTTGGAAGGATGAAAGTAGGGGAAGCTGAATGCCTAGAGGCTTCAACTTGCTCAACGAATAGGAGACTTTCCTGGCTTCTCTCGGAATACTTGCCCCTGTCAGTGACTAGCAGGCCTTGGCATTATTGGTGGCCTTATGGCATTACCACATTTTATCCGCCGACACGGTTGGTTCACTTTCTCCTTTCTCACTCGTCAAAACCCAAATGATAATAGTTTCTGATGACACGCCCAATGACAGCCATGCGGGCGGTTTGAACAATGTTTGATTTCTGTTACACATTCAAAAGCGGAGAACTATTGAAGCGGAGATCTTGCCGATAAGCGCCATGACTAATGGGCCATGCCTTCCCATATCCCAACCCGAGCCCAATCCCCAATCAAGGCAAATTCTGCTCTGCCAGGCGCTTCTTCAGCATCAACGTCCGGGAAGGCGCCGCCGCGGAACACTCAATTAGATGCAAAAGAACCGACAAGGCTGGAAGCGAGACCGGCGTCTCTCCGCGCCACGAGCGGCGCCTCTGCACGACTGCTCAACGACCCGTCAAAGCCTCGTGATTCTCTCCTTGTCGAAAAGGCTAGCACAATCAATGCCGCCCCCCGTGGTGGTCGTCTAGTGCTCGGCCATTCTACGAGCCAGTCATCAAGTAACGCAAGCAATGCAAGCACCACGCGTCCAGCTTCAAGCGTACCGAGAGTGGCAACCGCTACGGCATCTTCGCGGCCGCAGCATGCCACCTCGATTAGAAGTCTAAGGGACGCACGATTGCCAGTCGTGCGGGTGCATAGCAGAGCCTCGAGTGCATCGACGCGGCTCAGACCAAACTCCGACGCTCGGGCCGATAGACCGGTGACCCTTGATATGCCCTCGGGAGGAGACGCGTCGTCTCCGTCTGTTAGACCAACTGTGAAACCATACAGGAAACCCGAGTCCAACACCGACCAGCAACATTATAGTCCCAAGAAGGAGATGACGGCATCGACCACAGTCCACCCAGTCTCAGGCTTGGATCCCCAACACGGCACTATTCGCCCCGGATCCGCAGGCCGCGTCATACCTTCGATAGAACTTGCACGCCTTGAAGATGAATTGCTCCAATTGTCCATTGTACACCAAAAGTCTGCGGCAACTTTCCAGAGCTACCGGGCATCTATCAGGTCACAACTAAAGACTGGGCTTGAGGGCGTAGAAGATCAGCTAACCACCCTCAGGTCCCTGCGCCATGATCGACAGGCTAACATTAACGCCGTCGCCTTAAGCAGGTGGCTCGACGACGAACGAGCAACAAAAGACGTAAGTCGTGCAGGATCAGATACCTTACTTCTCCTCGCACACTGCCTGGGGGAGTTGCAAAAGGTCAGCAGGGTGCATGGACCTCTGGAAGCGGCCATGAAGTTATTTGACGAGTGGTATGGCTACGCGTCTCCTAGAGGCTATACCGGAGATGGTTTTTTTCCTGAGGAACATAGCGAGGGAAAAGGCTACCATCTCCACCAATTGGACCCGCAATGGTCAGCCTTGGTGTCATCTGTGGAAGATCGAGTCAGAGCCTGTGCAGCTTTATTGGCGAGTCTGCAGGGGCCGCTCAAGTCATCGTCAATTGGATTATTGATCGAAATGCACAGCTCATTTGCCGACCAGATACTGGGAGAGATTTGCATTTGCAGGACCATAGAAGACCTCATACTTCGAGCACAACAGGAATGGCTTGCCAGGGCAGTAGAACAGGCCCTTTCGGACGTGGAGTTACATCATTCCGTAGACGTAGCACGAGACACCCCAAGGAGAGGTATCTGGGACCTACGACCAAAGGATTCTTAAGACCGCAGCGAGAGCAAAATCACAGCTGAGGCTCGGATGTGCTTTCTAACACCTAGAAAGATAGCAAGTGAATGTAACTGGTTCAGATCCATGCAGTTTCCGTTGGAGCATTGGTCTCGTCTCATCCGAGGCTGAGATGATTCTTTGACACTGGGCCTTCATAGATGTCGGCTTCCTGGTGCGATCCCTCGAGAGGGCATATTCCCCAAATGGAGGATCTGATGAGAGACTGTCCAGCTTGGATCGAAGAAATAGAGAGGAATCTCTGTGAATGCGGTCCAAGGCCATCTCGAAAGTTCGAGCAGGATGAATGATGGAGTAGCATTTCACAAAAAAGGATGGTGGATTAGCCTGAAGCGAAGTCGTAGGTAGAGTGTCAGTGAGCTTCGAGAAAACGACCCACTGCGTATCCGAATTTCTCGGCGACCGGAGGGTGTCGGGCTAGTGGAGCCTGGCTCGAATCGGTGGCTGGGCGAGGGCAGAGCAGAAACGTTCGAGAGGAAGCCGAATCATGAGCAACTTTGGGAAGCCCCGTCGAGATGCAGAATGACGCGGGTGGACACGCCTCAGAACCCGTCGAGGTGTTTTCCGGGTCACCTCACTAGGGTCGGATCAGTGATGGTGCAGGTGGTGCATGAAGCTCCCTCCAGAGTCCAGGGCCCAGGGTGAAAGTTGAGGGCGGATCTACCAAGCTTCCCTCCAGTCAACTCCCATGGCCCAAACGTAAGCCGCTCCGCTGCATGGCAGTGGGGAACGGCCGTCGTGATGTTTTTGCCATCCCACGCCTACCATGGCTTGCGAAGGGCTGGATGAATAATACGCCCCTCTCTCCTCTTCGGCCCGCGTAAGGTGCTGTGAAGTATGTTGAGAGCAGTATTTTTTTGGTTGTTACCCATTACTCAGAGGAGACAGGTCCCTTCTTACTGGCTTGGTTGGCAAGAAAAACTTTCCATCCAAAACCCCCTCTCAACCTGCTTGTACCCTTTGATTCGTCATGCTGTCTCGGACAGGGGTTCGCAGCGGGTCCCGATGTTCCCTCTTACTCTTTTCAGGAGGGGCAACTTGGGCGTTTCTACCTTCGCTCTTGCGGACCAGCGGCGAGACCAAGAGGCGTGGTGCTCAGTACCAGGTAGTGAGAGGGAGGGACAGTTTCCTGCTCTGCAGATCTCTACCGAATAGGTGCTAGGTTGCGAGGGGATTCTTTTTTCGTGCGAGAACTGCCAACAAAGGCAGAGGAAGGAAGATAACGTTGGATTTTTCATGCTCGGGGGGCCTGCAGGCCTCGGCAAGTATTCGGTGCGATTGACCCATGACATCCCTCCAGGACTCGCCTGTCTGGAACACGACTGGCGACGCAGTGTCTCAAGGATCAAAAGAGTTGAGTGATATGCCTGGGTCAATGCTGCTACTGTAGCCAGCACCCACGTGGTATGCTTGATCGCGGCCTACACTCGGCTACCGTTGCCCTTCAAGGAGTATGGAAGACAACTCCTCAGGTTCATACATACATACTTGGTACCGAGTACCTTGCACCCAGTATCCATGCACTCCGTACTCCGTCCATCCATACCTAGGCCTATGTTCCCCTCGTCTTGAGTCGCCAAGCACCGGGGGATTGAGCCCCTATCCCAGTCCACCATCGACAAACTGGGTCTTCGTTCCATCGTCTCGTCACTCGAGCGGTGGGGCTTGGCTCCGGAGGGGATGGTAGGAATCGGGTATAGCGTCTGGCTTATCTAATACTGCGATCAACTGTAGTCATCGAAAAACTGGGGCTCGGAAGGTTACAACACACGGTAGTCGAGTCCAGCACCAATGGTGACAGTGGCAATTGATCAGGTAAGAATCCTGGGAGTTGGCACCAGCTGGAGACTGCGAGGTGAGTGGCAGGGTGTTGAGGAGAAGAGGTGAAGTGAAGTGGTCGATGACTAGAGTGTCGCTGCTCTTACCTCTTACCCATCGAGCCATCTCACTCAACCGGCGCGAGGCGGTGGCGGCGAGTCAGCCAGTTTCTCCTGCTTGCCTGCTCAACCTACTTGTAAGCTTTCCCTAGGCTGGGGAACTTCCCAACAAGGAATTGCATCTGCCTTTGGGTATAGGATCTTCTAATTCACCTGGCACTTCGTGCATGACTCTCGCTTCCTCCTCTTCCACCGGTGCCTCTTCCAGTCTTTCCACCTTCAAACCCCCCTTTCTCCCCCCTCTTTTTCCCTTTTCCCCTTGGATCACGTTATCTCCCTTGGCATTTTCGGTCGCTGGTCGCCCTGCCCTTGACCCCAGCAGCCCTTACACCACTTCCCCCCTTTAGTTAGTTTTTGATTTCTGTCCTTTGTGATGCCTCCGATAGGTTCTTCCAGGTCCGTCTCGCCCTGCCAATGACACAATACCCGGGTTCATTCGCTTCCCGAACCAACACGCCAGCCGTGGCGAGCCCAAAGGAGCAAGCGTACCATTTCCAGCCCTTCAGATGCCCATGGTCCATGGGCCGCACTGGACCAAGACAACAGCACCACAGTTCGTCCTCCACCCTGAAAACCCTGGCCCTCTGCGTGGGCGAATCGGAGCATCCCATGTCCAAATACAGTTGGCGATGGAGACGAGGACACACCACCAGGCTGTCCGTTGCAGTATCCTGCTAGTATTGAAACTTTGTTGGCTGGCTTGCAGGCTAAACTTGGTCCGATGGGCGCTGCTGGGTAAAGTAATCCATGCAGCGCCTGCGTACTAAACTGCTTCGAAACCACGTACGGAGCGTGGTGATCTCTGGATCTTTTCCATTCCCAAAACTTTACTTCCTGCGGGCTGACTCCAATTGTAGTCCAGTTGTTGCTCCTCTTCTCCAGTCCTTCTCGATCTCTGCCTTCCTCCATCCAGATCCTCTTTATCCCCTGCCGCCCGCCTCCCACGGTCCAATCGACGATCGCCATCTCTGTTGCCTTGCCCTGGCTTTTGCCCGATCCTGTTTCTTCCCTAGCTGCAGGGCGATCCTCCCAGGACATAACATACTGTACAGTCTCCCATGCCTGCTTAGGAATGTTGTGGTCCCCATACTGGTTTTCGTCGCATTCCGCGGGTATGCAATATATACAAGGATTTGCCCCCCGCGCCCATCTTTTACGATAAGTCAGGCGGGAAGGTACATACATAGGCGGCGCCAAAATTAAAAAAAGCCCTCGTCCTAGACCATTTGGGCCACCCTTCCCTGCGCTGGCTTGCCACACGCGTCCCCTTCTTCAGCCACTGTCACAAATGTTGCCTTGCACACGCCACTCACCTTCGACCAAGGACCAGAAGCTGGTGGGAGATCGGTGGAGGTGATGGAAGGTGATTTCTATTCTCCAGACGAACCAGATGATGTGAAGTCGCAACCGTCCATGGCTTCCGGCCTCCTCCTCTCCCGCGTCACCAGTGCGCCTGAGCCCGGCCGTTCAGTAGCAGATGGTCCTTTCTTGCCATCATTGCATCAGACACCGCAAAAACGCGACTCGCCCATGGACCACTCTTACCGGCGACGTGTTGGCGACCGATCGCCTCCTCCTGCCAGACACTTGTGGTCTCCTGGAAGTACCAGTCCGCGGCGTGAGCTGGAAGAGCCTCCAGACAAGCGCCCGCGTTTGGAGTATATACCGGAAAAGTTGGAAGCAGCAGAGGCATCGTCTAAGAGGAAGATGTACCCTCAAGTATGTGACCGGTGGTCCCCTTGGCGCACTATCCATATCCGCAGAAGGCTTGAGATGGGCATACGTCTATTGGTGATAATTTACTGACCGTCGCCTTTTTGCCGCCAGACCAGCTCGTATGTTTACCCGGGCGAGCACCGCCCGCCCAATCTCCCTCCGGAGGACATTTCTCAGCAGCGATCGTGGCGCGGATCATGCGGCAACTGTTCAGATACCGAGTCTCTGGTGATGGATCTTGTGCGTGGGTTTTTGGAGCTTCAGTCAGAGGTCAGTCGAGCTCTGGCGATTTCCACAGGGCCAAAGAGCCCTTTCGAGGTAAGCCCCGGTCCGCCCCATTGGAACGGGAAGTGCTGACGGGACCAAAAAGTCTATCGGACTCGAAGTGACTAAGCTAGGCCTCAAACAGTCTCTTACATGGACCATCAATGAACTGCGGAATACAAGTCGCCTCATACAGTCACATGCAGCTACTGCGAAACCGGGGTTACCACCCCTGGCTGATGTGGTTCCGCCCCCGTTCGTACACGATATACGTCGTTTGTCCATCCAAGGCCAATCTTCGGCCGTTCCCACATCTATAAATGACCTCCGCAAAGCATCACTCCCGCCAGATACTCCTCGAAGTGATGATTACCACCGCCGGCTGCCCGAGCACCCACCTGTCCAGATGCCTCGACCATTCGAACAAGGGCTCCCCCCAGTCCTCCAAGGGGAGGAATTAAAACGAAATCCACCCTATGAGCAGGCGGCTTCGGGTTCTGGGCTGTCACCACATCCCTCGTCGTCCAGTTCGGTTTTTGGCTCTGTCCAATCACCAATGCAATCTCAGCCATCCACCAGGACGCTGCCTTCACCGCCGGGAAACCAGTATCCGCGGACAGGAAGTTCGGAATATATACAGTATTCTCCCACGACGACTCAGGCCGCGCACAATGCTCATCTCCAAGATCTGCAACATCAGATTTCGACCAAGACCCTCGCGCTTCAGACTCTACAGCGTGAACACGACCAGTTACTGGCCGCATTTTCAAGGTCTCAGATTCGATGTACCGCCTTGGATAAGAAGTCGCAGGTGTCAGACCATGAAATCAACACCTTGAGTGAGGACAAGATCCGGCTACAGCAACAGGTGGAGGCATTGGAGATCCAGGTTCAAGAGTTGGTTAAGTCACGTGACGAAGCGCATCAGCAATCGTCAGCAGATGGCGCACAGTGGAGACAAATCGTGGCCATGTCATCGCAACTACAACTCAAGGGGGCTGACGAAGCGCGACGGTTCAAGCTGGAGCGAGAGGCGTGGGAGCGAGAGCGGTCATCGCTGCAGAAACGAATTGAGGAACTCGAGTCTGGTAAGGAAAAGCTTCCCGAGACGAGGCCGGTTTCTGGTTCCACGACCCCCGTGGCAAACGACCCCATTCTGACTTCGGGCTCTGTTGAGGTTCTTAGAGAAGAGATTATCAGGCTTCGGCGCCGGTGCGTCGAATTGGAACTAATGCTTCAAGAGCTTGCGGGGGAGGCTGAGCAGATCGAAAGTGCAATTACCGCAATGGAGAACGTTCGAAAATCGCTTGCGAGCAAGAAGCGCCGCACAGACGATAGTTAGGTGAGACGAATCGAGTCCGGTCGAGATAGTCTCTCGAATACGGGCTGTCAGGAGGTTCTACGGCAGCAGGCAAGGTTTTGCATACTTTCGTGTTGGACAGCCAATATGGAACATCAAACGGTCCACCGCCAGCGGAAGAGGGACTTCTATGGCTTCTGGACTACAAGGAGACAATCAATTTCACTACCCAATTGCCTCTTTCGCCATGTCCCTTTTAGCCAGAACTAGGGCTAACGGCCGACGTACACGCACAAGGATATAAAGGGTCCGAGGCTCGAATGCCTTCATCCGTTGAGATACGCCTTCCGGACATGGGAAAGATTAATCTCCTGTGGGTACAATGAGACCTTTTCCGGAGCCACGACACACAGCGACGAGCGAAACCAGGGATCGGGTGGCCAGAAGCCAACGAGCTACTGCCTGAAGGGGGAGGAGCACACAATGAACGGCGGAAAGAGGGCTAGGTCGATGGCCAGCATATATTACGTGGGACATGCATGTCTGTGCAATTACTGGTATTTCAGTGTGGTCACTGGATGGGGGGTATACCCGGGCGTTCCAGAAGACTGGGAGGCAACATGTACTATCACCATGAAGTGGGCTTGAGACCCGTTTTCTCACGGGAACCCCGTCTTTTTACGATGCACATTCGAGATGGCATCCTCGCTGCAAAAGCGAGCTGAATTTATGGGAATATCAGTGGCCTTGTTCAAGGCTTGAAGTATAACTGGCATCGGTTTTCTCGGTGCACGACGGCGCATTTCTCAGATTTTGGTTTGGACTAGCATCTACATGGGAAAAGATTGGTCCGGAAACAGATTATGCCGATGTGGCGGAGAGGAAAGAGAGGACACCAAGGAGGGGGCTGAATGACACAGAATAGAGGGATACTGATGTACAGATGAAGCCATGACCACGTTGCCAGGTTGTTACAGTCTGGTCTGCGCCAGGTGACTGCGGGGGTGGCACCAGTGGCACCAGTGGCACCAAGAAAGACACTTCGAATCATTCCAGTCTTTCCCTCGTTTTCCATTTCCATCGTGCCATCGTTCCTACAGCTGCACCTCCATCATCACTCAGCATGTCGTAAACACCTCCTCTGCCTGCGGCCGCATCACTAAGTCCACTGCGTCCATTTCTCCATCTCCGCCTCCGTCCCTTGCAAAGAACATCGCCTGTATCACACTCACAAGCTGATCCCCTCTCCAGTTCCGGTTTGCCACTGCTTTAGCCGAGTCTGCCATAATACAGCACAGAACCACATGCTCCTCCTCAGTTAGCCTCGTCCAAAGATCCCCTTGCGTGTGCAACGTGCAACGATTGAAGCCGAAGCGGACGACCTCATCTCAACCTCGCCCCTCGAACCGAGGTTCAACCTTCGCGACACAAGGCTCCATATCTTGCATGTGTCAATTCATATCCTCTCTTTACCGGCTTCAGTTGCCTCCCGGTTAATACAACATGGGCGACAAGTTTGATATGCGGCTACTGAAACGGTCTTTGGGCGAGACGAGAAGGAGCCGATCCATTAAAACTCTATATGGAGACAAAGCATGGGTTGAGGATTTAGATATCGTCAATGAGCTTGGGGCTCACACCGGCTGCGTCAATGCCCTTTGGTATTCCTGTCCCTGTCATTTCGTTGCGCACGTAAGGATATCTCTGCTAATACCGTCTCTGGCAGTTGGTCGACAGGTGGCAACCTTCTGGCTTCTGGCTCCGACGATACCTATCTCAACATCTGGAACTACAATCCACCCGGAGGCGCAAAACCTTTCTCGCTGAACACGAGTGTGAGCACCGGTCACCGTGCAAACATCTTCTCAGTCAAGTTCATGCCCCACTCGGGCGACCATACCGTGGTCACTTGTGCCGGAGACTCCGAGGTCCGTGTCTTCGATCTGGAATACGGTGGTGCTGCGAGCCAGAGCAGTTTGAGCGATGCCAGCACAAGAAGCCGGAGACTCAACAACTTCTTTCAGGACGCGAGGTGGCTGAATGAAGGGAATACAAATTGTCGGGTGTATCGAAGCCACGCAGATCGCGCGAAGAGAATCGTGACCGAGTCCAGCCCATACCTGTTTTTGACATGCTCCGAGGATGGCGAAGTCCGTCAATGGGATCTCAGACAGCCATCATCAGCGTATCCTGCTCCCCGTGGAGGTCGTGGCTTCGCACGACGTCACGCGGGATCCGAGAGCGACAGCGGCGACGCACCCCCTCCCCTCATCTCCTACAGGAAATACGCCCTGGATTTGAATAGCATCTCCTGCGCGCCCAGTCAGCCACAGTATATTGCGCTTGGTGGGGCTCATCTTCATTGTTTCTTGCACGACAGGCGCATGCTTGGTCGAGACATGGACGCTGAGAAGGGTCAGCCTGCTCCTCGCAGACCTGCCGCCGGGACTTTTGAAGACGAGGCCATGGCTGAAGCCACCAGGTGTGTCCGACGATTTGCCCCAAACAACAAGCGCAAGATGGGACCTAATGATCATGGTCACATCACGGCCTGCAAAATCAGTGACGCCAATCCCAATGATCTGGTGGCCTCTTGGTCCGGTGATCATATCTACAGTTTTGATATCGTCAAGTCCCCTGATGCGAGGGAAGCCGATGCTCGAGCCGACGAGGAGTTTCAGGCCAGTCGACTCAGAAACCGCGCGGACCGCAAGAGGAAGAGGGGGAAGCCGAATGCTTCCTCCAGCAGTCTTGGTGATTCGGCCAATCCTAGCAGACGTCTACGGAGGGTTCCGGATGATCGCTCAGAAGAGGGCCACACTGTGCTCCTGGCGAGGTTCGCTGACGGAGACACTGAGACGATCCGTTTCCCTTCCAGATTGTCCGAGCCTGTGGCTGAATCACCTTCAGCTCATGAGCTCTTGCTTTCAGAAGCCCAAAGATCGAGCGAACGAGTGGCAAGATCACTCATCCAACTCCGCAAGACCTTGTTCGATTTCTCTGCCTCATTGAGTGCCGATGCTTCTGCATCCATGGAGGAATCTCCAGACCTAACTCCCCACACAGCAGCGTTTACTAGTGCCCTCGGCCAATGTGCTTCGCTACTCCCTCAAATGGATGATATCATCCGCACGTGGTCCTATCCAATCAACCCGAGTGAGGAAGATGTTACTCTACAAAACACGTTGAGGAGAAATCGACAGTCGAGCTGGCGTTTTGTGCAAGCGGCTGGCTGCTTAGCCCGGGCCCTTGGTGGCCGTTTGCAGAGTCTCAGTTCTGCCCCAGACGTCCGGCTCGCGCATTTCGATCAGGTCAAGCCTGCTGCTCACGAAGGTAAGAATATCCGCAAGGAGTCGAGATTTTGTTACGACCTCCTGAAGGCGATTCTGCTATGGTTAGATGGTGGGCAACCAGCAGTCCTGCAAGGATTCAAGCGGCCACCTAGTGTGAGTGCCGAGAGTCCTCGATTCCCTCTCGATCAAGAAGACACCATTCAAAACTTTGTGCCCAAATTGGAAGCCTATCTATTGGACGTTGCAGATGACGAGACGCCGATCGTGGACCTCGATACAAACCGTTTCGAGCGAGACGAGACTCGCCTTGTCTTTCAGAGTCAGAAATCAGCTGTACTGGCGTTCACGAGAGCCCTCGGCAGTATTGAGTTGGTGACCAGCCAGGGTATGTCTGAGACTCGGGCCGACCCTTCGAGCCCCAGTACGACCATACGTGTGATGGACAAAGGCGCGGCGGCGAGATTCTGGGGGGTCAAGGTAGGCCGCTCACTGCTCATGCGTGCTGCGGAAGGGGTCACCTTCGATTTTGTAAATCGAGCATTTGGAGGATTGAGACTCCAGTTCGCCAGTTCGGACATGGGAGATGAACGGTCACAAGAAGAAATTGACCTGGACGAAGAGGAACGAATCATTGAGGCTATCGATATTGTGAGAACTACAGCTGCATCTGACATACCAGGCGGATCGACCTATGGAGATGCTCAGCCAGAAGAATCATCGGCGGGATCTCCCCAAACTGCTCGTGGGAGCACCAGAGGATCCAGTCAGGCGGATGTTGAAATGAGTACACCCCTTACCGTCCATATCGAGGATGCGGACGGAGACGAAGACGGTCAAGATCCGGATGCAGATGAACACGAAGACAACAACGAAAACGAAGATTCCGAATCAGAGGCCTCGGGGTCCGATGAGGATGACTTCTGGGAAGAGGCTTCGGGAAGCATCCTCTTCCGAAGACGGCTGGGGTCTGCGAGATCTCGTGACCGAGCGTCCGTGAACCTTCAAGTCCCCTATTCGTCCCACACCAAGGTCTACAAGGGTCATTGCAATACGCGTACTGTCAAGGACGTGAATTACTATGGTCTTAATGACGAGTACGTTGTCAGCGGTTCGGACGACGGGCATTTCTTTATTTGGGATAGGAAGACTTGCAAGATTCTGAATATCTTGGAAGGAGACGGCGAGGTTGTCAACGTGGTTCAGGGTCATCCATATGAGCCTATGATTGCCTGCAGCGGTATTGACAGCACGGTCAAAATCTTCGGGCCTGGAGGCGATAGTCGGGAACGCGAGGCGGCAGAGAAAGGAATCGACATTGCCAATCCCGGAGGAAGTGTGCATTCCTCGCTCGGATTTGGAGGTCGAAGAAGTCGACGCACTCGCAGTGGAGAAGACGATGACAGCGACGAGGATGAAGGCACCGCCAGGGCCACGCCCTCTAGGGGACTCAGAAGCCGGCGGGCCATACATCGCAGCTACGAGATCACCAGTCAGAACGACGTGGAACGGAGGCGCAGCGCGGGAGACACCTTGGTCACGGTAGGTTCCCTGGAAGAATGGTTCTTCTTCAGGGCATGGATCAGTGCCCGTGTGCCCAGGATTCAACGCACAAGTCCCCCAAGTTAAACTGCACTGACAACTAACCTCTGTTGTCAATGCAGGAGGGGATGCTCGCTAGATTCGCACTAGCACTTCAGCGGGGCCATATACAAGCGATTGGAGGGCCAGGCTTTGAAGGGACGGGCGGCA